AGGGGGGTTGGACTGGGTGACCCCCAGAGGTCCCTTCCAACCCCAAACATTCTGTGATTCTGTGAATCTGAAAATTTGGTCAAGTCATCACTGTGTTGTTGATGTAGAATACAGTGACAGGTAATATGTATTTTATCGTTGCAAAAAGCAAGGAAAGAAATGGGAAAGTCACTTAAGGGTGAACAAAAGTATCCAAGGAGTTATAATAGCACACGAGAAGTGAGAAATTAGCATTTAAAGTTGGTATATTAATTATTTTGCTAATGGTGATTTCTAATCAATGAGAGCAATGACCCAATTGCCGTTATTAAATAATAGCATTACGAAATAACTGCTGGTAAAATGGGCAAAGTAACACAAGAAGCAGCTGCAAATACTCCTTTTCCCCTCCGAAGGCTGAAGTTTTGTGGATTACAACAGGCAATCTGATTAACCAAAATATTAGTTGGTCGGACAGCTGAGTGTATTTCCTTTAGGATTTCACAACCGGATGGAATAAATGCTATCTGAAAATCAGAGACATTCTTCTGGGTTGCCCAGGGATCTGACCTAACTTTGAAACTGCTCTGTGCTGTAACACCAAAGGAATTATGAATGAGGAGTAAAACATGATTTGTTTCATTTGATAGCGGTGTAAAACAGATGCTAAATTAAATATTCAAAGCAACGGTGGGTCTGTTTCGTTCCCTTCTTATCTTGCTCTGGCAGTGTGGCACAGCCCTGTATTTCTGCAGTGCCTCTCCTCCACCGATCTCAGAACTGACATTTTCAAAGGGTTGGACTGGTGACGCGCCTGGGCTCGAAACGAGCCTGTGCCAAATGACTCGGCGCTGACTTATTTCCATTGTATCACCATTAAAAACAACTGTGTTTTGCTACGATGATGAGACCCCAGCTGTGAGATATTCAAGACCCGCCTGGACAAGGTCCTCTGCAGCCTGCTGTAGGTGACCCTGCTTCGGCGGGAGGGTTGGACTAGATGACCCACAGAGGTCCCTTCCAGCCCCTACCATTCTGTGATTCTGTGATTCTGTGTTTCAAGCGTGTTTTAGAAGGACAAGGAACAAACTGGAGCCAACACCGTTAGCGTCTGTATCCTTCCCAGTGCGTGGTTTGATCCAGGTGGCTTTGCAAAAGCGACTGCCCTCCGGGCAAAGTTTTGAAGAGACTTTGTCTGAAGTCACACAGTTTGGGTTTGTGAGAAAACAGCTTGAAGGGCCTGCAGCTTCTGACTTACAGCCACGTGGTTTGGCTACTAGATCATGTTTCCCTTTTCTATTAATTAGTCCTCTCATCTTTGCTCCTGTCTCCTTCGTCTTTAGAGCATGTGTGCATTTTTTCCTCAGCATTAAAATTCTGATTTTTCATTTCCTCCTCAGTAATTTCTCTGATCTGCTGTAGCACGTCATGTCAGTCTGTGTCCATGAGCCTATGTTTTAAGCTGACCCATTGCAACAAAGTGTAGAGCACAGCTGCTAACACGAGCGTTGTTCCTCATCAGATGAGGAACAGTATTTTGAGGAGGTCAACTTAGGAAGAAAACGCTTTTGTGGAGATGGAAATTAAATATTTTTTGAATGAGAAAATTTTATTCTAATAAAAATTTCAAACTCGAATGTAGGAAATTCATTGTCGTACAGATGGCATATCGCTGACATCAGACAGCATCATCAATCTGGGGAGAGTTCTCTCCTCTCCATGAAACGGCAGCTGGCTGTGAGGAACGCAGAACTGAAATCATGGGCTGGGCTGTATTCCCTGCAGCCCACTTGTCCTTCGGGATCTGCTCTTGCTTCCTGCTCTTACAAGTACACGAGCCCAGCAGAAACTGAATTTGTTCAGGTTTTTTCCTCCCGTGCTCCTCTCCCTGTGTAACATGCCTCTGAGGGACGTGAAGAAACCCCTGGCTTGATCAAATCCGAACACGGAGATTGTGCTGCGCCCACTTCTCGAACCGGACAGGCTGGAGAAAGCTGCTGTGCAATACCATGGCGGCAGCTACCGCAACCGCTTTCTAGGAAAGTGTTTGGTTATTTTAAAGTGTTATTATTTTTAAGATGTTTTTCATGGTGACAGACCAGCTGCAAACAGGGAGCAGAGCCAGCCCCTCGCCACCGTCCCGCTGAGCCGAAACCCTGCCTGCAAACGCCGCCACCGCTTTGCCCAAAGCCCCGAGTGCAGAAGCGCAGGTTTCCTGGTTGCTGAAGGCGCCCGGGTGAGCTGTGGGAGAAGCGAGGAGGTCCGGATCAACGCTTGGCCCCTCGGGAGGCGGGGGAACCCCCGGCAGCTCCCGTCGGAGCTCCGTTACCGTCATCTAGCGGTCGGGCCCCCGGCAGCCGCCCGCCGGCTTTCCGGTCAGGGTGTAACGAGCCACTCGGCTTAGGTCACATCTTTCATCTTCTGCTCTGGTGCTGCTAGCCAGCAAGGACAACCACGTCCAGATTTTATGCATTTCTGTTGCAAGTTTTCTGTGACCTAAACTTGGGAAACTAAATAACACCGATGGGGCACTCCAGAAAGGTCGACGCTTCGTCGTGTGTAAGAAGCAAACCCAAAGAAACTGAAACAGAAAAAACTTCTTGGAGAAGCGAAAAGGTTGAACCCGAGGAAGCTGGAAAAACAGAGAGAAATTTTTGTTCAGAGGTGCTGGGTAACAATCCTGAATTCATTCCTCGTCCTCCGGCCGGTTGTGTCCCACTCACAGTTTTGTTCACGCTCTGAAAACCCCAGTCATCAGGAAGGTCAATCTGCTGCTCCTCAGGGATGCTTTCCCGCCAGGCAAACTGGAGTTTTTCCTCCAAGAAGCATTACCAAGTAATCTGAGGAGCTGCAGCCCCAAATGCGGCCAGCCTGCTGACCTTTCCCTCTCTGCTTCACCGCTCCGTCCTAATTCTTCTTCTAGTTTCTCCATGTTACATTTTGGAAGAGCTCACATAACATCCCAGTTTATTTTTAGAGAAAACTCAATAGCAAGACAAGGCTATCACCACACAATTTCCACAGAAGGACAGACATTTAAGGAGACAGACATGTTGCCCTTTTTATTTTCCTTTTCTTTTCTCACTGTAGTTTGCATCGGCTCCTTTACCTCTCTCTAGCAGGCTGCAGCAGAACTCAGAGCAGCCCCTCCTGCCAGGCACATTGCCTAAGGAGCTCATACCTAAGTGTAACTACCTCAGCTTTACTCACCTTAACCTGTAAATCTAACAGGTCTTGATTTAATGTGTCCACGACGGAGGGATGCCCTTCCCCACAGCGCACCCGAAGCCCAGCTGAGCACCGGCCTGACGTTCTCCCCGGCAAGTGTCCGTACCAAAACCCCCACCAGGTTCACTGTTGTTTCCTGGCAGCATCATCAGTGACATCAGCTGCCACCGCCCTCTTTTTGGTGTAAAAAATATCGTGGTACCTGTGCCCCTGTGGCTGCACACAGCTGAAATGCTAATCACCTTTGAGAATCCTTTTAAATATGACATTATTTTAAGAAAAATGAAAGTGTGTGGGATTTTTTTTTAATATTTCAAGGAGGTACAGAGTAAACGTGGTACAGCCAGCTTTCTCCAAAGATCTAAAGGGATCCCCAAAGTCTTTTTAAAATAAACTTTCCCTTAATTGGGAGAAATGATTCAGTGTGCTGTGGGGGGCAAAGAAGTAGAGCATAGCCTGTTTCCCTGCGTGCCAGCTGGCTGGCTTCGATTTGCAAACAGCGCAGAGAAGGCTCTAATATAATTCTCTAAAAACTAAATGCAACTACTCTATGTTTATGCCTGCAAGTGACTGCAGGAGGGTGTGAAAGTGTATCAGCAAGAGAGTCACCTGCATGAGCAAAGCCATACTCTTCTCCCGGCCTGTTTCTTCTCCATGAAACGCAAGATTAAAATACATCTTTTCTACCTTATCATCTATGTTGCCATTAAGCAGTCCATGTGTTTGACCATGTGTGCGAGGTGTCCTTCGCCTCTCCCGCTGGCCACCCACGGGACATTCACATGACGGTATGTTGGACGATGCATCCTTCCAGGCAGAGCATGGGTGACCGACGGGCTGTGGCTGCAGGCAGCGGGCTGCGGTGACCGGGGGAGTCCCACGCGCTGATTTTACCAGGATGAGGCACCGCTGGAGTGCTCAAGGGTTAACACCGTATCGAGGAAGATGGACTCCACACCTCTCATACCTCCTGGCAGCTAAATCCTGACTTTTCCTGCTGGAAAGAAGGAAATGACTTGGCCAGTCTTACCAGAAATTCTGCCTGCCTCTACATCATCTTCGCATTTGTTGATGTGACCGGTAATTTACAGTACGAGGCAAGAATGAACTGGAGTTAGTGGGAGACTTATTAAACCTACTAAAAACCAACAGCGGAGCTCCCACTGTCTTCAGCAGGGGTAGGATTTCGTTCTGTTTGTGCTGGTTGCATAAGATTTGTAGGGAATTTTTCTTTTTTAGAGTTGCACAGAATGGAGAGTGGCTACACAGTTCATGGACAAATTAAAAAATACAGCAGTTGTAATAGAAGTGTTTGAAAAGACTGCTGAAACAAGCATTAAGGATTCCTTATTTGAAACAGAGGGGAAAATTTCCCACTTAGAAAGACAAACTATATTTCTAGTCCCTACAGAAATATTTGGGGAAATATAAAATAAAAATGTAGTTTAACTTGTATACTGAGATTGGAAACACCAAGCAATTGTGTGGTGTTTTTCTCTTCCGAAATCTCAACACTAGAGCTTTCTTCTTTGTGTCTCCGCGGTTTTCTTAAAGACAGAAGTCAGTCCAGCATGCAGTTGTTTTCCAGCATGATTATGCTGTGTTGTCCCTCCTTCAGATCCTCAGGCTGTCCTTATGTAACGTATAGGGTCATGATGGACAGAAATTGTTTGCAGATGGTAAGAAGGCGACAATACAAAATGGTTTCACAGGCCACAAAATAATGGAACTTAACCCTATTGTATGTGGCTTCTCAGCATTCGGCCAGCGCTCTTTAAAGGAAGGGAACAGGCTGTTGTCCAATTAATCTACATTTTAGCTTCTGCGCTCTATAACCGCTATTTCTGAAAACATAGATTGACTTAAACGACAACAGAAAATCCTTTTTCTGCTAAATCTGGATTTAGTAAAACCTCTTAAAACACAAAGCTGCGGAGCACATCCCTGCAGTTCCAAGAGGACTATTGGTGACACCATAGTGGGAAAGGAATTAATCCCCTGAAACCCGAAATGAGGCCGGAGAGCACCCCTTTGAGCTTTACACCACAAATGGAAGGTGCAAGAGCAACCCTCGCAAGTTCCAGTCGTTCATAGGCTCTAAGTTACGCCTGCGAAATGCTGCACCTTGCTGGTCATGTTGTTAAACGGTGGCCAGAGGAACACGAGTACTCGTGATGCTTTAAAGTGCAGACAACCCATGAAGCAGGAGGCTCACAGGCCGCTTCGCAGGGACTTCTGAAGAGACTTTGCCTGAAGCCACAGCTCCCAAGGTGTGTGATTATGGCTGGAAGTGGCTGTTACCTCCTGACTCACAACTTTACGATTTAGTTCGTATTTCCTATCCCATCCATGATTTTTTTTTCTATTTGTTCCTATTCATTTGTTTTTGCTAGAATGTTTCTTCATTTTAGCAACGTTTTCCCCTTTTGAGTATTTTTCCTTCTCCCTGTTCATCACATCTTGGGTTTTTTCCTTTTTTTTTTTTTTTTTTTTCATTTCTCTTCTCTGTTCTTGGCTGTGTTACTCACTTTTCGATGATGTTAATTTTTCCCCAGTGTGTCTGCCCAAATACCTCTTCTTCATTCTTCGGTGCCTCTTTGCTCTCCCCAGGGGTGCCCAACGGCCTGAATGCAGTAGAAGACTGCTATGGGATGGCAGCGAAGGAGAGACGCCGAGGTCAGGCCAAGCACGTCACACGGGAGGTTGGTCACGTCACTGCAAGCAGCCGCAAGCAGGAGATGGGGACGTGGGAGAGGCAGAGGGCGAGCATCCCACCTCCTGGCCGCAGGCTGAGGATGGAGACTCGGCGCGTGGAGGCTCCATTCTTCCCGCTGGCTTCAGCACAGAGCCCTCTCCTTTCGCTCAGTTTGCCCAGGGCTTACGTAAAGCAAATCAACAGAATTTTTGCAGTAGCCGTTTAAATGCCACCAATAACTGCGTGAATATTGCAATTAGTTGCAAAAATGTGCACGCTGTATACTTACAAGAACTTTTCCACCAGCTCAATTAGATTTCCACACAATGTTTCGATCCAGTAACTTACCATTTTTAGGACTTTGCTCTCCTGAAATCTCACGGGACAGTTTTCACAGAAGAAACATGGTGGAATTTGCAACAAGCTACGTTTTAGAGGAAAACAGTTCATGTTTTATGTATCTGCTAACACCATCTACCGAGGTAAGAGGCTTTAGAATCATGTCTCCTTTTGCTCCATCTTCACACTGGGATGAATAAACCCAAGACAGGCAAATTTAGGTCAAGGTGAGTTTATTGTCCATACAGCATACCTAATCCTGCCAAAACACTTTTCTTAGAACCATCTTTTAACTAGTCAAAACAACAGGTTATTAATAAAATGACAACACTGAACAAAGAAGACCTTTTAAAAGGTAATCAAGACTACACCGTATCAGAGTTTTTATCCATCGAAAACAACCTCACATACTTTCTAAATACTTTTGCTTACACTGATCATGTCTACTACCGCACTTTCTAGCATCCCCTGACCATATAAACATCCACACCTCTTAAAGAGCACATTGTGAGATAATAACGTTGACTTGATATGGCATCACACTCGATAAAGCAAAAAAAGAAAAAAAACCAAAACAAAAAAAAAACCAAAACCAAAAAAGTTTGAGAACAGAAACTGTGCAACCGAGAGTGATTTCTGAGGTACATGAGAACATGGTAATAAACATAGTGGAAAAAATCCAGTGGCCAGGTGGTTTGTAATTAAGAGCCGTCAGATTATTCAAGCATAAATCATCGACATTGAAATGGGATTAGTAGTATTTTTCTTTCACAAGCATGTTGGGAATATAAATAAATTGATTACGAGGTGCTTCTACACTACAGTAACGGCAGGGAGGGCAAGATCGTCAAAGTACCACCAACAGGGCGCTGAGAAAGGCTTCTCGCAGTTCTGCCAACCCTTTGGCACCTGGGAAGGCACACTCAGCGACGTCATTTCTTTGAATTAACCAGTAGGAAGGTTTATGATTTCTGCAGTTCAGGGGAAAAAAACTCACACCTCATTTGCAATAGCACCTTTTTTTTTGACATCTGTTAAAAAGGAGTACTACGCAGTGTTTTTATTTTGAATGC